ATATATATATATATATATATATAGATGAAGTATGGAATTGTTAATTTTAAATCCAAATTTCTGTAACCAGATGGAAAATTATTTGTGAAATTTATATTTTATGATACAGATTATTACCAATTTATTTAAAACATCTTATTAGATAAAACTGTTTTAATACGGTTCTGAAATATAAGGTAGTTTTAATTAAAATTATGATATATTCCCATTAAATATATTAGTAAACATAAAACCGTTAAAAATATTTACTTTCATGCAGCCGTTTACATATTTTCAAATATCTCTAACCTCGTTTCGTTATTGAAACGCAAATGTCCCCTATAATCTTGGACCAATCACAATAGAATTACCAATTGAGTTAATTTTAAAACCTAAAAACAACTCAATCAAACCGTGTGTCTTATTAAACGAAGAAATAATAAAATTAGAATTAATAACAACTTGACACGTTGATAGCCATGAGGATAAATTCCCTATACTTATACAGTATTGTCTTTTGTAACGGCAGCATCAAATGATGGTCCTAATAAGAAGATCGATTTAGTCCAATTCTATAGTTTATTTTTATGAACGAGAGAGTAATTAGCATAATTTTAACTGGTATCTCCGACCACTCCATGGGCGTGCTCAAGATTAATTGAAAAATTACTTTGAATAATTGTAAAAAATAAATGAATTATTTCAGTGTTATAAAGTGTTATGTGTATGTAAACAAAAGTGACCTCTTTTATCACACACTATATTAGAACTGACTGGCCTACATTAAAAAGGGTTTTAAAAAATTCACATTTTTTTTTAAATTTTAAAAAATTACAAAAGAGAAAAAGAGTTTTTAAAACCGTCTAAGGTATGTTAAATAGATGAATAAAAATATTAATATAAAACTTACAGCTACTTGTTACAAATCCAAATCAGATTCAGAAGATGAATTTTCAGAACCAAGATTTATAATAACTGGCTCGATCATTTTATCAGTAATATTGTCCAGCTTCCACATTTTTTCCTCTTCTTTAATAGTGTGATTTACTGCCTTTTCCCAGTTTTCAGGTTTTACATTATTTACGGCCTCCAAAAACAACTGTTTAACATCATGAATTTTAAAAGTGGTATTTTTTCTTGAAACTTCACTCTTTATCTGTGCCCATACCAGTTCAATCGGGTTTAATTCACAATAATATGGTGGGGATCTAAGTACTGTCATTCCACGATTTTTGGCAATTTCATCAATTTCGTATTTTTTAAATTTTTCTTTATGAAGGGCACACAACAAATAAAGTTCCTTTCTTATAGATCCGGGATGGTACGTAATATTTTTTGAACTCAGCCAATTCTGCAAGTCTTTTTTTAACCACTTGGTTGTGGGCAGTCCTTCTATAAGTCTGGAGTGATAACTTGCATTATCCATTACTATTACACAGTTCTTAGGAAGAAGATCTATCATTTGTTCGAACCATTCCTGAAAGTCATCAGCGTTCATGTCTTCATGGTAGTCACCGGTACGAGTTAATTCAAAAGTTAATAAACCACCTTCAACAAAACCGTCTGAACTGCCAATGTGTACTATTATCAGCCTGCGTCCCTTTTCGGATGGTGGGTTTAAACCAGTAGATAAGTTATTTACAAAAGCGTGCCTTTGACTTGTAACAGTTTCATCCTTCCAAAATTTATTTGGTGTATGACCCTCGTTGATCCATGTTTCATCAAGATAAAATATTTTTCTTTTTTGGTTTCTCATTTCCTTTATGGTTCTTAGAAAATATCTTCTCCATATGACAATATCGCTTCTTTCTAATAAAATAGACTTTCTGGGATTCTTTTTCCAGCGGAAGCCTATTTCTTTTAAAAGTTTCCATAACGTACTTCGACTCATTTCCGGGTAATCCTTATCATCTCGAACTGAGACAAGAACTTTATCCAATGTTGGAAATTCTTGTCTAAAGAAGAATTCATGCACTTTCCGTCGAAGTCCTTCTTTACAATGATATTCTATTTGAAATTTTGGTTTCCCTGGAGCATTACGTGGCATTTGAAAACTACCACATTTCTCTTCTTTAATAACTCTGTAAATCGTAGATTTCCCAACACCAAGCTAACTAACTCAACGGTCTCATCAACACTTTCACATAAACGTTTGTCTGTAAATGATTTAAAACAATTAAATATTAATGTTTTTTCATTAACTGTTAAAGGACCAATTTTTCGGCGTTTACACGGCACTTCCAAATTTTCCATAACACTAGTATACAATAAACTGCACCTTGCAACTGAAGTACTTACTTTTAGTGAACTGTTAAGAATTTTGAATACGCCACTTGGACCTTCCTACAAAATGGAAAAACCCACTATCACATTTTCTGTGGAATAAGTTTAGAAGGTAATTATCTAGTCAATTACTGTCGTAGATTCCTGGAATTAAAGAATTAAATGTTTGATTGTTGAAACCCTTACTTCGTGGAATGCACTTATTTCAGATAAAATAAAACGTTTTATTTTATCTAAAGAATTAAACTTTATTTTGCAAATAGGTAGGTACTTATTAAACTTTTATTGGTTATATATAACCAATAAAATAAATATCTTACATTTCTTGCAAATTCATTAGTACCTGTTAACCTCCATCACTCCGACACTGGCAACCTTATTTAGGGATTAGTAACCCTCACAACTATTGTATTCTATTCTGCTCCTACTTTTGTACCTGTGGTCATACTCAATTTAAAATTGTTTTCCTATATACTTCTGTAAACTTGTTGACAAATATCTGTTTTTCATTGAGTCACCCGTATCAACAGTTTAGGGATTTGCATACATAATTTATTGTTTTATTACTCTCTCATACATAAAAATACACTATAATTATTATCAAGCTTAAATTTGTTTAGAAAATTTTTGTATTTTAATATTTACAGTACTGATTTTTTACTATCTAAAACTACAATGGAACTACAAACTTGTATTCCAAAGTCAGCGAGTTGTTTAAAAACACTTTTAATAGATAAGTTTACCGAACGAATAAATGTGATGAAGTACCTTTGAAAATCAATAAAGTTGGACGATATACACACAATTCTTCTTTAATTCGCGTCATACCTGTTTCTTCGTCGTCATTGTGGTTAGTATGTATATTTGTTTATGGCTCCCTCGTCGTACATATTATATTACCGGAAACCTAATTATATATTTACTATACTATAAATAAAAATAACACACACACAATATTTAAGTTTAAAATGATTGCTAGGTAATTGTTGTAAAATTAACACAGATTACAATTATCTTATTTTGTATCAAATAGTACTGAGAAATAATACGTTAATAACAATATTTATTAAATAATACTTGTTTGTTAATTATTCAAACATCCTTTTTGGTTAGCAAGTAACAAATATGAAGATGGTTAGCACTTACAAGGGCCAAACTGTATGACCACATGTATTCTTTACTATTCTACGTATAATGGATATTCTTCTTCTAAATATGCCTATCTTCTAGAGATGTTGGCGACCACATTGACCCATCTTGTTCTATTTACAGCAGGTCGAAATAGATCAGTTAACGATACACCAGCCAGGATTGGCTTGTGGAGTCCAGTGTACAGTCCTTTTGATGTTTTTTCATTGATACAGAAATAAAAATTAAATAGAACCAGCATTTTTCTGTAATTTTCTTACCATATGATCTGTCCTAGTAGGATACTTAAATATTTGACCATAGCTCTGAAGATTGCTTCGTAAGCCGAATGGCCTTTGGATGTATGTGTGACTAAGTTTTTTTAATCTTTTACCAGTTTAATTACTTTTTATTTTTCCAAAACCGTCTGTTAAACTGGTCGTACTGCTGTTCGTCTTCCATGCAATCAATATTCCGATTCTCGAATCCTGGTATCCTATAGCAGCTTGTCTAGGTCCAGTGGACTGGTATCAAATGTTTTTGGAATCATTTAGTTACTTCATAGGGCTCCTGAGAACCCCCCGAGCCACTTGAATATATGTGCATAATTGATGCATTTAAAAAATGTATTTAAAAATTTCTTTATAAAAGGTATGATATTAAAAACCTTATCGAGATATATCACAGAACGTTTTCCGAATTAATATTCCATCATCAGTGCTATCTGAGTGTACATGTTTAAAGCCACTAAATACATGAATAACAACCCTTTAAATGTTGTTAAATTAACTTTGAATTAAATTATTTAACTTTATAAACTATGATGTTTAAGTTACATCAACAGGAATAGATAATAAGGCAACGTAAGACTGCACTGGAAGTTGCTAGTCCTGAGACGAAGTGTATATCTACCACTAATGTAACATTGGAATAAGAATAGAAAGAAAAGCAGTAGTGTGTAAAATTGCTAAAAATACAATACAAATAGTTTACAATGCCAACCAACTTAACATACTTTTTTGCTATCTTTTACAATTTGGAAAGATTATCAGTAGTTTATTCTTAAAATGTTCACATAAAATGTCAACATTTTTAAAATGTATTCTATGTAAAACGATTGGTACTGAATATCATTATGTGACCATTTTGGTAACTTCAAACATTTCCTGCAATATTCTACTTAATTTATGTGATTATGCTAATGATAATTAGTTATATTGGTCAAATAATTTATTAAATAATTTGGTCTGTGTCGTCGCTTCAACTGACAACGTGCAAGTACTCGAGCTTAGGAGACATGTAGTCCCTAAAGTAATAAATTTTAAATACATCCATTGTCATCGACCTACAGTATCAACATTACCTAATGTAAAATGTGACACTTTACCAAATCAAACATGGTAGTCTTATAGACACCATATTTATATAGTTAGCAACAAATACGAGGCACTGAAGATGATCCGTAGTGATCGAAAACGTTCTGCCAGAACTTTAAATGTGACGACACTTTTTTAAAAAAGTTTTAACTTGTTTGTTTTATACCTAAATACACATTTGTGAAGTGTTTTAACTTCTGTGTTTTTTTTATTAAATAATTGTTTTCTTTATAGAGCTTCAGCTAAAAACCCCGTCCGCTGCCCCCACTGAGCCGCACCCCGGAACTCGCCCAACCCATCAAATCCCCGTCGCCGCCAACACTAAACTATCTGTGCTTACTGCGTAGAATGGTAGAAGGTGGACCACCGAGAAACCAAAAGCAAGACTCTGATGTAAAAATCGAGCACCTAGCAAACGGCTGCGGATCAAAGGATCTGGAGCTTGGAAACTTTACAACGACCAAAGATATCCCATCGAAAGTCTCGGCGGATGTAGATAAATCCAGTGATAAAGCTGACTTCGAAAAAGCCATCGAACTCACCAGGTACGTACATATTTTAAAACTTAATGGTAAACATTAACGACATAACGACCCAACAAACTGGGATTTGTCCAAACCGACCATATTCCTTACTATAATACAGTATTGCCCAAAATAAACAGTACTAAAACTGAAACATAGACGTCTCTTTGTGCGCGCTGTCATATTCAAATGGACAGCCAGAGTGTGACGTCACATATGTCATATTGTTGGCATTACTTTCCAAACAAAAGTTGAAACGTCAAATCTCAAGACTTTTTAATTTCTATAAAGTTAACATTTTGCTTCCTCTGCTACTTTTTCTTTTAAGTATAGTGTTTTTTACGATAATACCATCACAATTCAGTGTTCTATTTCTATGAAATATAGTTTAAAAGTATACATTAAGGAAATTCTAACCTTACTTTATTGATGCATGCATTTTATTCCTATTTTTATAAAACGACATATTTTATTACTTACACAACCTTGTAAAATTGTTGTAGTAACTATTAGAATACTTATATATTGCAAAAATGGCAAAAAAGCGGAAAGATTCTGTAAAAAAATTAAAAAATATCGAAAAATACAAATTATCCACACTAAACAACGTTTGTTTGGAAAGTGAAACTGACAGATGTCAATCAAATCTACGTCATCACTCCGGCGGTCCATTAACTAGTATAGACCTGTCAAGTAACCTTAAAAATAAAAAACTAGAGGCAAAAAACACGAAACAGATCATAGTTGAGAAGAATAATAGAACAGTCAAAGACCCAAGAAGGGTTGCCGAGCCAGTGATGATGATGATGTGACCTGTCAAGTAATCCTTAAACAATTAATTATAAAAGCCTAATTGTTAAAAATGGTGTTAAGTACAGAGGATAAAGTGTTTCTTGTGGACCATTATTTTCGCTCATACGGAATCGGCCGACGTAATAGTGCAAGTCTGCAATATCCAGACTTAACCAGAGTATACAGACGTATATCTGCAATATCTCCAGACGTATACATTTGGGGCATGGCTAAAACTGCCGTTTTTAAACGGGCACCACAAACCATTAATGAGTTAAAGGATACCGTTAGAGCCTTATTCGCGGACTTAAAACAACCTTTATTTCATAACATTACGAGAAATCTAGAATATCGGTATAAAGTATGTCTTGAGAGAGAGGAGGAGCTCATTTAGAACATGTTATAAAGTGTCAATAATATGTACTTTTTAAAACAATAAAATAATTACATTCAGTACTGTTTATTTTGGGCTATACTGTATATAACCGTGATACTATGCTTGGAAATGACAACTATAAGCTATATTTGTGTCGTACTGTACTCACAGATAATCCAGTGGCACATAATAAATATAACGAAAAAATCTTAATGTATAGAGATCTTGAAATACAAAAAAAGACAATAGAGAATGGAAAATACTCATACCATACATATTGTCCTCTCATACCTCGAAACATCAAACAGCTGAGCCTTGGTACACGCGGCAAAAAGTGGTCTAGACGCATGTCTAGAAGAAAAGTTTCAGAGGGTAATCCAGCGTAATTCAGGAAGGCATAGCCTACACAACGTCAGTAGCGATAATGGATTACGTCTGATTAACTTATCATATTAACATTAACAAGCAAGTGATTAACATTAAGCAAGTCAGTAGCTAGCACCTATTTTGTACACAAGAATATACACAAGGTAAACTAGACCTGAACTGATGGAAAAACAACCACTCAGATTGAACACATTTTAATAGATTTAAGACAGGGAACAGGCATAATGAACTAAAGAAATTATAGAGGTGCAAACATAGTATCAGGTAAATTCAACATTAAAGGCTAAAATTTCAAACGTCAGCAAGGAAAATAAAATGGCTTGAAAGAAATGGCACGTGCAAGAGCTGAAAGATGGGCTAAGGAATCAAAATGTAAATGAAGAAGACAAGAAAGGTAAAGACTTCTAAGGGACCAGAATAAAGACAGATATTGAAGCAGCAGCAAAAGATATAATAGGAACAGAAACTGATGCCCGTAATTTTTTTTGCCACAGGCAAAAAAAATTCAAGTCAACTACAAACCAACGCAGAAGTCCTATTGAAGGTGAATTATTCCCTATTAACAACAAAAAAAGAAGTATTAGATCGATGCGTGGAATACTTTGACCGGATACTTAATTAGAAAAAGAAAAAGAAAATCTGGAAGACGAAAGAGAAAATAAACCATCAAAAATTCTTGAAGTTATAGACGCAGTTAAAAAACTAGCCAAAAATAAAACACCCAGAGTTGATAATCTCCCGAACTATATAAAGAACTATATAAAGAAGGTGACACTACAGCAGCTCATAAAAGAAATATGGACACAGAAACCCCTGCCCATTGATTGAAATATTGGAATAATTTGCGCCATGCACAAAAAGAGGAGATATCTTTGAATGCCCTAACCACAGAGAAATAATGATTCTAAATGCAGCGTATAAAATATTCTCCAGTATACTATGCCAACGTATAGTTCCATATGCAGAATGAATCATAAGAAAATACCAGGCTGGCTTCAGGGGTGTTAACTCTTTAATTCATCAGATTGCAACCCTAAGACAAATTTTAGAAATAACTCTGGAATATGCCATAGATACTCATCCCATATTTATAGACTACAAGGTAGCCTACGCCTCTGTAAATAGAAGAGATATGTTCAGAGCAGTAAAAGAGGTAGGAGTATCAAATCAGTTTGTAAATTTCATAAAACTAACCTTTGAAAAAGTTAAATGTAGAGGATGAATCCAGGGAATTGAACCTTTTAAAATAAATAACGGGCTGGGTAGGGAGACCTTTCCTCCTGCATACTGTTCAATCTGGCTCTGAAAAAAGTAATACGTATGTCACAAGTCACAACCACCGGTTAAATGTATAACAAATCAGTGCAAAGCATATTATGATGACGATATTAATATTGTTAGGAGAACGGAAAAAGCTGTACGAAAGGCACTAAAAGAAGCGGTTACAAAAATGGATTTAATAATAAGAACCAACAAAATAAGGTGTATGAAAATAACCATGCAGAAAATAACGTCATCTAAGCAGTAAACGAATTTGGGTAGTTGGAAGTGCTCGTTAACACTAAAAATATCACTGCTGCAGAGATAAACCGCAAAATTTGCACGGCCAATAGGCTATTTTTGGCTTAATCTCCTTAAATCCTTAATTATATCAAGAAATACAAAGGTAACACTTAATACGCCCACTCCTAACATATGGTTCAGAGATCTGGATTCTTACAAAAAGTACTAAAACGAATCATGCATGAGCGGTGAATGACAATGGATTGTGGAGAAAACAGTTCAACTTCGAACTTTATAGAATACACCAGGAATCAGATGTAAAATACATTAAGATAGAACTTCTGAGGTGGGTAGGGTATGTAATGCAGATGGAACAAACTGGCCCAGTCATACAAACGCTCCTGGTAGACCCATAGATAAGAGAATAAGAAACCGACCTAGAACAAGGTTTTTTGAAACCATCGATGAAGACATGGGACATGTGGCGATACATACTTGATAAATTTTTGAGGAGGTTAGGACCCACATAGAGTTGACATGGGTTTGTAAAGCCAGAATTATGATGATGAATCCAGGGTAACAGGTCACCTAAGGATCGATAACACAGAAAAGATTCCCCAGAGCTCAAACCATTTAATGCCGTAGTTATCTGGGATGAGCAAATTTTTCCATTAGGATTAAGGGCCATATAGCTGAAATCTGGATCAAGTTAGAAAAGTAACAAGTTGCGCTACAAACTATATTTTCAGATAGATAAATATGAAAACTTGTAACAAGCATTCAATAAAGAAACATACGTTCTTTATAGCCGTTTAACATACATATGAAATTTTTTTCAATTTCAAAATGGTGGAGCATCATACTTTTAGATCTTCTTCTTCTTCTTTAAGTTCCATCTTCTATCGAAGGTTGGAAATCATCATGGCTATGCGGACTCTGTTGACTGCCGCTCTAAAAAGTTCTGCACTACTGCATTCAAACCATTCCCTTAAGTTCTTAAGCCAGGATATTCTTCGTCTTCTCACATTTCGCTTTCCTCGGATTTTGCCCTGCATAATAAGTTGTAATAATGCATATTTTTGCCCTCTCGTCACATGTCCCAAGTACTCAAGTTTTCGTCTTTTAATTGTTAATATTATTTCCGCCTCATTTCCTATCCTTCTAATTACTTCCATGTTTGACATTCTTTGAATCCATGATATTCGTAGGATTCTTCTGTAACACCAAAATTCAAAGGCGGCCAGCTTATTCAGATGAACTTGTTTGAGTGTCCAAGCTTCCAGACCATAAAGAAGAGTAGAGAACACGTAACATCGAAGCATTCTCAGGCGTAGTTCTAACCTTATATCCCGACAACAAAGAAACTTTTTAAGTTTAATAAATGATGTACGTGCTATTTCAATACGTGTCTTAATTTCTTTGGTTTGGTCTACATCTGATGTTATCCATGTTCCTAAATATTTATAGTTATTAACCTTCTCAATTGCAGTATCTTCAATAGTCAATTGGATATTTGCATGTGCAGATTTAGTCATGATCATGCATTTAGTTTTCTTTAAATTTATCTTCAGTCCGTACTCATGACAGCGTTCATTAAGGCGTTGCATTAGGTTCTGTAAATCATTGTTGTTATCCGTAATTATTACTGTATCGTCTGCAAAACGTAAGTTATTCAAAACTTCTCCATTGATAGAAATTGCTTGTAATACCGCTTCACTGTAGACATTGAAAAGTAGTGGGGACAGCACGCAACCCTGGCGGACTCCTCTCTGTATTTTGATATTTTCGGTGTACTGGCTGTCAACTCTTACCTTGGCAGTTTGATTCCAATATAAATTAGATATAATTTTCAGATCACGACTGTCAATATTTTTGCTTTTTAATATATCTACAAGCTTTTTATGTTGAACTTTATCAAATCCTACAAAACATAAGTACATATCCTGATTCATGTCCATGCATC